ACACTTGGTCGTGACCAGTCTGTACGCCCATCCCGTCGCTGCGAGGCGTGTGGTCCTTCTTGTTACCACACCGAGCCTCGCCCAAGTTCGAAGGGGATAACTGACTGCAAACTTTTCGGGGAAGACCTCGCCTGTGGAAGAAGAGCAGCGCGTCTTTACCTTCTGCGTGACGTAAGGTTATGTATGCGTGGTAAGGTTGCCATATGCTGGTGTCCTGTAAAAACAGAATATACAGGACTTAACTTCTCTCCGAATTCGTTTAGTTTGGCAGTATCTGTTAGTAGAGAAAATAAACTGCATGTCAAATCACGTATTTTATTGAGCCAACCATGTTTTCCGAAGGCAGCCTGCCCTTTTTTGGTCAGTTTGTTTCAAATTGCATACTCCGTACACTTTTTATACAGCATTTGAGACTTAAGTTATCCTTGCTACCCTCAACGCGGTGTAATTAAGAGTAACAATTCTTTACTTTCAATAGCCCGGCTGCTCTCCCGTCACATTTCTCTAACAAACAGTCGCTCGCTTTAATTTGAGCTACAGAATTGCAGAGGGCCACGAATCGGTTAAGTGGAAGGTTTACAGAACTGCAGAAGGAAAGCGTTGTTACCGTTTGCGTCTCCCAAAAGAAGTTTCACACCGGGGTCAGGTAAGGGCGTACAGCGCATGCAGACTTAACCGTGGAAACCGCCATACCAATCCGAATTGCGTGACGTTGTGAATTATCTTTCCCTCAAACTGTCCACAGCGTTAGAAACAAATTCCGTCTGCGGTTAAAGCAAGCTCAAGTATTTAAGGAGGCCGTAAACTCTCTCCCCCACGTTTCTTGACAGATCTAATGTTATCGGCGGCTTTATAATCCCTTTCAGCTCGCCTCTGGTGGGCACCCCATCTCCGAGAGGGATTTATTTCTGCCACTCGCTACGTTGGGTACTGAAGAACTGCAAAGGCTTCCCGCTGATTCAGGCAGCTGACCTGCCTACGGCGGCAGTACCTTACTGCAGCCGAACCGTTCCTACTCTCTGACGTTAAGTTGCAGGCAAACAGAAGAGAGATGAGTTTCCCCAAGTAAAGCTCTTTCTAGACATACTCTGACTTACTCGCCGCCCCGTTCGCCAAAAATCCATAAATAATGCTTAAATTATATACAGTACCAGAGAAGTGGGTCTTTATTCTTCCCACAAATAAATTACTTCTTTTAAAAAACCAAATGTTTAACCAAGTATAAAAAGTAATGCCCTAACAAAACTACAGCGCTGTTCTCATTCCAGCTCGTCTTTGGCTTGCTGCAGTAAAACGCGTATTTCTTCAAAATACTGCTTCTTCCAACACTGTCTTGTACTATCTTCATTAGCGACAGGAACTCCTTTGCACTCTAACTGCAGTTCCGTTTGAGCAGCCATGTCCTTGAAATTCAAGGCGACCGTTGCGTAATGTTCTGAAGGAAGAAAATAGGACATGTCAATAAAGCGGGTTTTAAAGGGTTACGTTTGCCGTGGCTCATTTCCTGTCTGCTTGTGCCCGTGTCTGAGCGAAGCCTGTTTTCACAGATGACAACCGCCACGGACACCGGGCTGTTCTCCACAGAACGCGGGCTAAGCGAGCTTCCAGTCAGCGAGGCCGCCGACTGTCACGTTTCTGCCTTCCCCCTGCAAAAGGTGTAGCCTCCGTTAGAGGTCCTCGGAAAGACTCACCGTCAGGCCAGTTCCTACACCTCCACTTCAGGACGATTCTTTGGCTTGGGACCTGTAAGAAGATACGAAGGTTCTCCCCATTAGCATCCCAGATACTTCGCGTTACGACTACCCCACGCTAATTCTCCCCTGAAAAACACGGAGAAGGAGTGTCATTTTACGTAGCGGCAGACGCGTGCGTGTAAACAATACAAAGACTGGGTTTCGCTGGGTGGGGTTGTGGTTGGGTGTTTTTTTTTTAAATAAACTGTTTTCATCAAGCTCTCAGCTTGCTCCAGTCCTCCGTTTTGTTTTCTCTATGGGAAAAGGTCAGGCTGATCAGTTACTAAGTGAAAAACGATGGTTTTATCGCAGACCTTGAAACGGGCACGAGTAAGAGTCACGTTTACGCCTCTGAAATTTGTGTATGTTTCCAGACTGAGCCCTTTCTGGCGCCAACAAGAGACTTCATAGAATCATTCAGGTTGGAAGAGACCTCCAAGATCATGGAGTCCAACCGTCAACCCAGCACCACCGTGCCCACTAAGCTGATTTCATCAGCTTGAACTGAGAACCCGATTTTCCAAGGCTCTGCTTTTTTAAAAGCCGTCCAGTTGTCAGTGATACTTACTGCCCGTCACCCGGATGGACATTTGAGATAGATACCAAGTCTGAGCTTAAATCATTTTTCAGAGGTTTCAAAAATGGAGCTGAGCTCTAATTATTATCAATTTTTGCCTTCTGTTTGCAAAAGCATTCGGCTGGGGAGGGTGTAACGTTTGCCCTGACTAGACGAGAGATCATTTCTCCAGTTACGAGAGAAAGCGATCCGGGTTTGGGAGATAAACCTTACGCCTGCTTTCTCTCTCCTCCTAGTAAAAAAGGGTGGTGCTCAGAGTTTTCTCCCCCGGTGCGGGTCACCAGGTGCAGTCGGCGCCTGCTCTCCTGACGGGGAAGAAACATCGCCAAACGTAATTGCAATTTTTTGGCTTTGTAATGAGGGAACTGAACGTGCGTCAGAGACGCTGAAATGGCAGGAACTTAGGCTACTTTTTAGCTCGCAGAAGTAGCTGACACCCCTACCTTCCCCCCCCCCCCCCTTTTAAAAACCCAAAGAAAGAGATTTTTAGGAGCTTTTTACCAATTCTGCATATTCACCGCTGACGCAACCGTCAAACATCTGAAGTTTGCCTCCTTTCTCAGCTTCAATCACAGCAGGACACTTAGAAAACTTCTGTACCAACTAGAAAAGAAAGAATACGGCTCAAGTCAGTTAACTACACATCTGTACCGATACGTAACGCGCCATATTATGGGACGAGGGCAGTTTGCTGAGGGAAGAAGTGAACTGAACTGTAAGATAGGTAAGAGTCTCCGCGCACTTTCATTTTATGCAGCCCTCCACTGAGGTCCGTGGTACCAGCAGGGGCCGATGAGGTGACGGAAGGAGACTACAAATGCCAAGAAGCCTGCGGTGGTAACTGCAAAGACTCCAGCCACCTGCACGGGGCTTGGACAAAGCACAGACAGACATACGCATGCGCCCAGACGCGACTGGCTGTTACTAGGTTTGGGAAAGGGGGAGACGGAGCAGCAGCTCTAGGAAGGTGCACGAGAGCTGCCGAGAGCCATTATGGTTTCCCAGTGGTAGCGTCGGGATTCGAATTTCAAGGTCTCCGATACCAGCCCAGGCTCCTCTGAAGGGCACAAACCCAAAATTAGTAATGTTATATTTCATACCCTACAAGCAAGGGTATCGTTGCATCCAACGGTTAATCTAATCAGCCCGTAAGCCGTGGATAACAGTGGCGTCACTGAGCACTTCAGGCTCCTGCATGACAAGTACTCACATCAAAAAAGCTCCGCTTTTTCTAACTAGCAAAGGACAGCCTGACTGAGCTGCATACAAACTACATAAAGATGCAACTTTGCTTCGGTTAGTTGGCTTTTCTTCCTGTGAAGGTCACAACCGGCCAAAAAGGTCTAAGCCACCCTAATAAGCTCTCATTAAAAAGGTAAGAGCGGAATGCTCCTACTGCCACCCTCTAGCGCTGTCCGATTGCTATCGCAGGAACTTGACAGCTTGTCAAGGAGGTCAGCTACCTAGCTGTAGGAGTTGCCGCTCCTCGGTAGGAGACCACGCTGACACACTGCCCCAATCCTTCCGCGTTTTCACCACTGAAATTCCTCAGCGGCTTAAAAGCGGAAGCTATTCAGCAAAACTTGAGGAGCAAACGATGACGATTGCAAATACTCGGTGAAGTTACAAGAAGAGGGTAGCTCATTAAGCCTTCAGTTTCTGGACGATCACATCTCTCCGTTTCCTGGACGCAATTATCTGTCCTTGACACCGCGAACGTGACCCATCACTGATTACTTACACAACTATTCAGCTACAACAGCATCCGCATGAAGTTACATTGCCCACTGAAAGTATCACTTACTTCCTGAGTTGTGAAGACGCTATAAAGTTCGTCCGCTGGAGAGTTGAATATTTCTCTCAGAAGTATCTGCACTGTTGGAATTTTTACACCAACTGTAGCCAAAGACTGGGGCGAAACAGAACCCTGTAAAGCAAACAATATTCACGTGAATGAGTGCAAAATCAAACATTTACAAGTTCTGGAACGGCAGGATTGTCGGTACCGGTGCATTCTTAAACATACTGCCTTGTGAATATACGTTACCTATACAACCTACTTCCATATTCACAAAACAAGCGACAAAATTATGAGCGTGTGACTTGCTCCAAAGACACCTGACGCTACCTTTAGCCGGGGGGAAGTGATCCGTGCAGGTGAATTCCAGCCTCGCCTTGCTGAAGCTACAGCCGCTGCAGAACAAAGCACGAAGGGGCACATAAACGCTGCCACCCTCCTTCCGCGCCGGGCAGACCCGTGCCCAGCGGACGATGTGTGACGGGTCATTTCTGTGTCACAGGCCCTGACCGCAGCGGTGAGGAGGCAGCGCCACCCCAAAGGCTTTTGCTTTTGCAGGTAATCTCAGGGATATGCAGTTGTTACCGTAGCAAAACCCAGAGGGACTACGTTTATGGTAGTGCTGAATTCGTACAACACTTGGAGCCCACGTACTTGCACGGCGTTCCCACTTAGTTTTCGCTCAGCGGCCAGCTCCTGACCAACAGTAGCTTTTGTTGGCAGAATCATTCCCAAGGTAAACTCTGTAAGAAAGAAAAGCGCTTTTCGGTATGAAATTGAGCCGTACAACCACCCTGACATTTACACGTGTAACGACGATTGCCGGCCAAAACTGTGGAGAGCGGGAGCACAGAATTGGGACGTACAACTCCAATCCAGAGTCTCCCCACCTTACCCCTATGTTTTTATTAGCAATGCAGCCTAACAGCAATTTCCCTTGAGAACACAGGCTTTTCAAAGTTACCCGACCCCAAATTAATAACAAACATCTGCCCATTAAGGAACGCACCGTCTCCCAAGAACTTCCGAACAGCACAGCAGAGAAATGACCAGCTGAGGGTAGGGCGTCGCGTTGCTAGCCAACCGCTCAGCCCGCAGGTCCTTCAGCGGCCTCTGTGGTCAGTATGCGTAGCACGAGGCGGCCTGGGCCGCCACGGAAACTGCTGGCCGCCGCCGTGTTTGAGAGCGATAAAGAGTTTGACTGGTAGGGCTAACTTATTTCATCTCGGCTGGCGACGATTAGAAATAAAAACCCCACAAACCCAAGGACTTGTCAGTGTACTGCCAATCTATTCAAGAGAGACCCCTGCGTAAGAGCGTTCCTACCACACTGGTGTAACTCACCTGTTTTAAGTGCCTTCAGGTAACCTCTCAGGGCCTCTCTGACTTTTGCGGTTCCTTCGGTTCTCATAAGGTCCTTCAGAACATCGCCTTCCCCCTTCTTTTTGCTAACATTTATCTAGAAACAGAAAAATTGCAAGCTCTAAGAGGCATCTCAGCATGAGGCTTTTGGGTTCTGGCAACAAAGGAAAGTATTTTGGCTTGGGTCACTACGTTCAGAGGACAGCTGCGATCTCAAGTTTGTTATCTTCTCGGTTTATCCTACCTTTGCTAAAAGTAAGTCCTCTGGGGTTTTGACTTAAATAAATGCAGCATCTCATCTCCACAGTAGCTTAGTCAAGTTCATCAAGTATAAACAGAGCTGCCTACTACACAGCAGAGGTGGAGCAATCTGTGGAAGCCACAGTATCAACTGCTGTACAGCCAACAAGGAGATTCCTTAAGTTCTTAGGTTTTGGGGGGGGGGGGGGGGGGGGGGTGTGGGTGGTGGGGGGGGGGGGGGGGGGGGTTGGGTTTTTTTAAGACTGCAACAAGCAGAGTTTTCCTCAAGTTTGTAGTTAGTATATCGTCACAAACAGTAATTAGCAAAGAGAATTGTGCACATTCCTAGTAGGTAAATTTGAGAACAGAGATAAGTCGTTATTCCAAGTATAAAACAAATGAAAACAGGAAATAAACTATCCAAGTGTAATTATCCCACTTAATCACAGGATAAATCAAAGCATGATGCCTATACGTTGATTAACGCTTTATTTAAGAATTCTGAACCTATATAGCCATATCAGTATTTCACACCTACCTCCGTATCATCTACCTCATTTTCTTCTGACAGGTTAGGAATTTCAACAGATCCCTTATGTTTCTCACCAGACTCTTTCACTGTACCTGTATTAACATAACGAATTCTTAAATGCATTATTAAAAACTATTTCCCCCATAGCAAGAGTTTTAGCTTGGAAATGAGTTGTACGAAAGTGTTACTTGAAGCAAGTTGCCTCGAATCTAATTTAAAGGAACTACCTCGCAACGAAAAGTCTCAAACGCGTCACGGTACTTTCACAGGAAACTATTCCCAGACCTGTATTTTCCTGCGTAGATGCATTAAGGTATGTACATGCACACAGGCACGTCTCGCTGAGCACAGTTTGCACTACCGTTCTGCCACTGCTCTCACCTGCAACTGTCAGCCGGCCTGACGCTCTCCACTCACAGCAACTTACGTCTGCCGACAACAGAATGTGAATCTAAAAGGGGGCAGGGGAAAAATAACCTCCTCTTCCCCTAAATTTGTCGGCCCTTTATTTAGAAGCTCCCTAGAACGCTCACTATTCCTTCCCAAAGATCTGAAAAGCTCCCGACGTACAGGCACGTCACCACAAAACGTAGGTGTGTAAAATGGACAGGTATACAGTTGACGTTTTTTTAAAAAATACGAAACTTCACTGGCGAATTTTTTAAAACAATTGTTCCGACTCTTAGTAGCTTTCCCACGAACTGCCAGTAGTGACTGCACGTGTCAGGAAGACTTTGCAAGACCAGAAATCACGCTCCCTTTCTGCAGCTCTCTGGGCAAAGGCCCGCCATCGCTTACCTACACAGCTCTATGAACACGTTCTGGGGTACGAACCCTGTACTGTACTATTTACCTCGAGACCTTACCGTGAAAAGACTGCATTTAAGGTCTGACGCTTTTTGTTTTCTTTCCACTGAAGACTCTTCCCCCTTGCCTTGCAGAAGCCTTGTTATTTACATTTATCCACTACTTAAACGACCTGAGAATCTCTTTAGCAAGCAGTAGCGGAAACACGGGGTTCTGCCCCAAACCCAGTTATCTTCATACTGTTGTATCAGCTTAGCTGTCAAAACGTAGGCAACACAACCCCAGGCTTTATCGGTCTATCAGCGATCCTCTACAACACAAACAACCCAGTGTTAAGCACGACTGCAGAAGGCTACTTCTCACCAAGGTAGACACAGTATTTCTTTGGATTCTCTCACCTTCAGAGGGGCTAGCTAGATCCAGCTACTGCTTAACAGCACTCTCCTTTCATCATTTTTAATTACCACCCACCCTGAAACGACCACCACGCTACGGGGGGGGCACTATGCACAGATCTAACCTAACGCGCTACCCGTCAAGACCGCCGTAAAGTACACAAACCAACGCTCCGACCCTTCTTAGCAAGAAAAAAGAGCGAATGATGGTTCGTAACGCAAAGCGGAGTACGGTGCAAAGATCCCTTCCTAGTCAGGAGCCGAGTCGATGAAGCACAGCGCAATATGCAAAGTCTGTTAGTCCAGAAGTAGACAACCACGTCCACGCAGCGAAAGGCTGAACTAGAAGACCTCCCCTGGGCTCCTCAAAGTCTCCCGGGAGAACCTGTCAGCTCAAGTACGAAGCCATGTGAACTAGTTCATTACACCGCTAAAACACTTCTGGGCCCAACGCAAATCACATGCAGCCATCTCCCATTTTCCTTTTACTGCTTTCTTCCAGCTCCAGGAGGAGTACAGGCAAAACCACGCAACGTTGTCTTTGCAGACAGTAAAGCAAACCTTATTTTCGGCCACTCTCCCCAAAAAGGAAGCGCAAGCGTGCAGGAAGAAGTTTTCAGGAGCAAAACACACACCTGACTTCTATCCACTCAGCTGATTTTATTAACAATTTTCACAACTCTTAAAATAGAGATTCCCAAATAACACAGGCCAGACAACGAATTTAAATTCATAAAAACTTTATCGGTCTATCAGCGATCCTCCACAACACAAACAACCCAGTGTTAAGCACGACTGCAGAAGGGAACTTCTCACCAAGGTAGACACAGTATTTCTTTGGATTCTCTCACCTTCAGAGGGGCTAGCTAGATCCAGCTACTGCTTAACAGCACTCTCCTTTCATCATTTTTAATTACCACCCTGAAACGACCACCACGCTACGGGGGGGGGCACTATGCACAGATCTAACCTAACGCGCTACCCGTCAAGACCGCCGTAAAGTACACAAACCAACGCTCCGACCCTTCTTAGCAAGAAAAAAGAGCGAATGATGGTTCGTAACGCAAAGCGGAGTACGGTGCAAAGATCCCTTCCTAGTCAGGAGCCGAGTCGATGAAGCACAGCGCAATATGCAAAGTCTGTTAGTCCAGAAGTAGACAACCACGTCCACGCAGCGAAAGGCTGAACTAGAAGACCTCCCCTGGGCTCCTCAAAGTCTCCCGGGAGAACCTGTCAGCTCAAGTACGAAGCCATGTGAACTAGTTCATTACACCGCTAAAACACTTCTGGGCCCAACGCAAATCACATGCAGCCATCTCCCATTTTCCTTTTACTGCTTTCTTCCAGCTCCAGGAGGAGTACAGGCAAAACCACGCAACGTTGTCTTTGCAGACAGTAAAGCAAACCTTATTTTCAGCCACTCTCCCCAAAAAGGAAGCGCAAGCGTGCAGGAAGAAGTTTTCAGGAGCAAAACACACACCTGACTTCTATCCACTCAGCTGATTTTATTAACAATTTTCACAACTCTTAAAATAGAGATTCCCAAATAACACAGGCCAGACAACGAATTTAAATTCATAAAAACAGTGAATAGATTTCTCCCCCCCCTTCAAAAAATTGCTTGTCCAAGGGATTAACACAGATGGTACCTGGGCTGGGCGGCAAAGTCCCCGCAGTTAACAAACAGAGCTGGCTGGTCAACGTTACACAGGCCGAACGTTGGCACAGCTCTGCATTTTTAGCATCGCTGTAATGTAAGCAAAACTATTACCTTTTTATCAAACAATCAATCAAATTATTTGCTTGAATCCCACGGGACTCCAATAACAGACCTAAGAATAAATGATTTTTTTTGTTTCCTGCCAATCCAGTATTTTAAAAAATTAGTAACGAAAGCACACGTCTCAGAAGGACCTACCTATAAACCCACTACTGAAATACCTATGTTATGAAAGGACATACGGGTTTTCATAAAGCTCCCATCACAAGGTAGAATGATCCATCAAAATCCTCCTTACACCTTCAAACAAACCACAGAGAGAACAGCCATTCTGCTCAGTTGTAGCGCCATTAAGTACCCTTAGTTCCTCCCTTTCTTGTTGCTCTGTAATCTAAATTGCTAAGGGCAATGTTTTTCCAACATCGGACTTTTCAAACCGGCTGCACATTTCAGGATTTATATCATCTTGTTCTTGTGTATCCAGATTTTAATCATGGCATGGCTTGAATGACTAGTTATCGTAGAAGTCTCGTAGAAGGAAATAATCACAGCAATTAGTGTTTTTAGCAGTTCAGTCTGAACTCTCATTTCTAATTCAGAGCCCTCCGAAACCACACAACATGATGGCTATCAAATTAAGAAAGTAGTCGTCAGCCCCGGCTCTTTCAGAATTTCACCGCGTAGCAGCAAACTCCTTTAAAACTAAGCTCTCAAAGACTTTACCGCTCAGCGCAACACTGAGCTGAGCAAAGTACCTAATGCAAATTAGAGGTGTCTGTAGTTAAACGCTGAAAAGCTTAAAGACCTAGCAGAGGAAAAAGAATTTAGAAAGAATGTGTACAGAAATACCAACAAAATACTGTGCGCCTGCCCACTTCTAAGCTTTATTTATACACTGAAATAAAACAAACAACCCAACGAAAACGAACTAACCAGTGTTTAAAACTTAGATGACTTTAGCTTATCTAAAAAAAAGACCCAAAACATCAAAAAGCTGATTACAGTTATTTAAAGTGTACTGATATAAACTGCGTGACACAGTGTAATGTTTGTCTTCCTCTCTGTTAACATTTAGATCACAACTGTGAGCACGTTCTTAGTTCATAACACACCTCTAACGTTTAAAACATAGTTAGCTATCAACGCAAACAAAAAAACCCTAATAACGGTACTTCTCCAAGTCTCCTGTGATTGTGGGAGCAGACCTCCGTTCCAAATCTGTTCCAACACAAGCACTGGTCTCAGCTTCGAAGTAAACGTTGAAGTCCCCAGTCAGCCAAGCCAGGGAAAAAAAGTCACGAGAACTGCACTGGAAAAGCAACCGCGAAAAGGAGACGTGCGAAACGCTGGCAGCCCGCCGGAGCAGCCAACAGCACTACCTGAAAGGCTGATCCAGAGACTACAGTCCTGGTTTGGGGCGCGTGGAATTAGTATTCCCACCTCCTGCGGTAACAACTGAGGCCTGAGAAATGAGTACAGTATTTTGGGGAGGAACAACCTGTCATTTGGCATTACAATATCCATGTACAACTGCCCACGCAGGTGCTTTTTATCAGCGCTTCCTGCTCCTTACTCCAATGCAAGAGATGGCCCACAATTTGCCATCAAGTTTTAGGCATCCAATAAACGGAAAGAATTCCCTGACGGTCCCAAAAGACACAGGTCGGTCTGCAAATAAAGAGCCGCCGTGGGACAAGCACAGCGGAGGATGAACCTCCAGGAGTTGGGGTTGCGAGCAGACGCAGCGCAACAAAAAACGCATGGGCACAGCCCCCGTTATCCCAAATAATCCAGAATTATTTCTAGGTTCCTTATTCCTACTGAACGTTTTTTTTCCCCTCGTGTAATTCATTATCCTCAACGTAAACGACCCTAGATTTTTGGAAACGTCTCCGCTCCTACGCTTCTCCGTTTCTCCCGTTTCCCGCTATCCACGCGCGCTAAGCACACAAGCTGTAATTCGTCCGCGCCAGGAAACAGCAGCAGTTCAGGCACGCTGTCGTAAGCAAGACATATCCCACCACAACGGAAGTATTTACTTCTTGCAAAGCGAAACGAGGAACACTGTGCTGATACGCTGTTAAAACAACGCTGAGAAACGCGTGTGGTAAATAAAACTGGACGAAGGGAGAAAGAAGACAAGCTAGGGTTTCGAGATTTAAAAATAAGCATTTATGACAGTTCAGGCCCACGCGTCTCCTGCAACCTCCCCGCGATTTTGATTCACTACGGTTCATTAAAACGTTCCTGTTCTTCCAACCCAAACGAGGCAGTTTACTTTCCGAAGCGATCGCTCCCGATCCCGCAGAGCCGATCAGCAGAGCCCGCGTCGCACGGCCCACGGTAAACTCGAAGGCGGCCCCTGTCAATGCCCGTCTTCCCGCGGAAGCTGGGGCCACGGGTGGAGACACGCAGGGCTCCCCAGCCACCGCGCTCCTTTAACCCGGGAAC